CCTTCCATCCATCTACCCATCCAGCCTTCCATCCATCTACCCATCCATCTACCCATCCAACCTTCCATCCATCTACCCATCCAACCTTCCATTCATCTACCCATCCATCTACCCATCCAACCTTCCATCCATCTACCCATCCAACCTTCCATTCATCTACCCATCCATCTACCCATCCAAGCTTCCATCCATCTACCCATCCAAGCTTCCATCCATCTACCCATCCAACCTTCCATTCATCTACCCATCCATCTACCCATCCAAGCTTCCATCCATCTACCCATCCAACCTTCCATTCATCTACCCATCCATCTACCCATCCAAGCTTCCATCCATCTACCCATCCAAGCTTCCATCCATCTACCCATCCATCTACCCATCCAGCCTTCCATCCATCTACCCATCCAACCTTCCATCCATCTACCCATCCAGCCTTCCATCCATCTACCCATCCAACCTTCCATTCATCCAACCTTTTCCATCCATGTATTTTTATATCTATCCACCTAACCAACTTCCATCCACCTTCCATCCATCTACCCATCCAGCCTTCAATCCATGCAACCTTCCACCCATCCATCCGTCTTCTTTACGTCCATCCACCCACACCTCCAGCCTTCCATCCATCTTTTTTATTTCCATCCATCCTCACATCCAGACTTGCAGCCTTCTTCCACCCATCTGTCATTTTATATCCATCCACCCACCCATCCAACCTTCCATCTGTCCATCTTTCTCGTATCTATTCATCCATCCGACTCTCCTTTTGATATCCATCCATCCACCCATCCAACCACTATTTTTATCTCCATCCATCTTTCTTTTGCAGACAATCCCAACCCTCCGAAATCCAACCACACATTCCTACGGAAAATCCTGCGGAAACACACCAAGAAGTATGAGCCAACCCCAGAGCCGCCAGGTGAGACCCCCCTGCCACCCCCACCTCACTAACCGACCTCAGGAACAACCCCTTATCAATGAGGGATCATCAGCTCAAGACAGGCTGGGAGGGGAGTGGGGTCTAGTGGGTTAGAATAAGGGGACTGGGAGCCCGGACTCCTGGGTTCTATCCCTGTCTCTGGGAGGGGAATGGGGTCTAGTGGTTAGCATGGGGGGGCTGGGAGCCAGGACTCCTGAGTTCTATCCTCAGCTCTGAGAGGGGAGTGGGGTCTAGTGGGTTAGAATAGGGGGACTGAGAGCCCGGACTCCTGGGTTCTCTTCCCAGCTCTGGGAGGGGAATGGGGTCTAGTGGTTAGCATGGGGGGGCTGGGAGCCAGGACTCCTGGGTTCTCTCCCCAGTTCTGAGGCCACAGCAGGATGTCATGGAGGAGGTGTGGACAGGGAGAGGCTTGGCACAGCCCAGCTCTGGGGCCCGGATCTGGGTCCTTCCCCCAAGCAACAAGGACACTTGTCCCTTGTCCAGCAGGTGAGGAGCGCACCGGGATCCTGAACTTCCGAAAGGCCCCGAGCGCCCCGCTGAAAGGTATGGAGTGAGGGGGCTGGGCTGGGGAGGGTGGTCAGAGGGAGGGTCAGGGTGTTGGGAGCAGGGGAGAAAGTTGGAGTGACAGATGGGCCTGGGGAAGGGAGGGAAAGTTGTGGGGAGGGACGGAGGGGTGGGAGAGAGGGTCAGGGGTTGGGGGCAGGGTCTGGGCTCATGGGTCAGGTTAGGGGAGTTGGGAGAAGATCTTGGGGTTGGGGGCGAGGCAGGGGCAGAGATGGGGGTTGAGGGGAGGATTTGGGGGCAGAGATGGGGGAGTTGCAGAGGGATTGGGGGCAAAGATGGGGGTTGAGGGAGGCCTGGGGAGGGGGGATTGGGGGGGACAGATAGGGGAGTTGCAGAAGGACTGGGGGCTGGGAGGGCTGGAGGAGTTAGGGGGCGGATCGAGGCGTGAGGGGCAGGCCCAGGGGTCTGGGGGGTGCAGACACTCGACCCCCCCCACTGTTCCTCCCCTCCCCCCAGCTGTCCTGCAGCGCCACCGGGCCTCTCTGCTGCGGCATACCCAGCAGCTGTGCACCAACGCCTGTGACGCCCGCTCCTGCGGCCTCCTCGAGATCCGCTACACCCCGCTGCTGCTGCTGGACTACCCCGGCCCCACCGCCCCCCCTGGGCATGAGCACCTGGCCCTGGCCGCCCACCGCGCCCGCCTCCTCCCGCTCCACGCCCCCCGCCGGCTCCCCCTGCGCCACCTCCTGGCCCCGCTGCCCACCGAGACCCAGGCCCCCCGCCGGGTGGCCCTGAGCGGCGCCGCCGGCATCGGCAAGAGCGTGACCGTGCAGAAGATCCTGCATGACTGGGCGCTGGGCGCGGCGTTCCAGGGCCCCCTCTGTGCCTTGGATTTCTCCTGCCGGGAGCTCAGCATGATGTCCAGCCCGGTCACCCTGGAGGGGCTGATCTGCGCCAAGCGTCCCCACCTCCAGGAGGTGCTGCCCGAGCTGCTGGCGCGGCCCGGGGACCTCCTCGTCCTCGTGGACGGTTTGGACGAATTCCGGCACCCATTGGACGGCGGAACTCCCCGCCACCGGCCCGGCCACCCGGCCCACGTCAAGGAGCTGCTGCGGGGACTCATCGACGGGACCCTGCTGCCCGGGGCGGCTGTCGTGGTGACGTCCCGGCCGTGCCCGGCCCTCTCCGGCATCCCCTTTGATCGCCACTTGCTGATCCTCGGCTTTGACGAGGACCAGGTGGAGGACTACTTCTGCCGGTTCTTCCGGGATGCTGAGCGAGCCGCTGCCGTGCAGGGCTACATCTCTGGCCACCAAGGCTTAGCCGGGCTTTGCTTCATCCCCCTCTACTGCTTCATCTTATGCACCGCCCTGGGGGAGTTCTTCCCCGCTGGCCAGGCAGCTGACCCATCTCCGCCCACCACCATCACCGAGGTCTATCGCTGCTATATGGCCACCATCCTGGGACGCAGCTGGTCTCCGGAGCCGGGCGCCGGGCAGCTGGTCCTGCACCTGGGGCGCCTGGCGTACGCCGCCCTGTTGGCCGGCAAGATCCTCTTCACCCCAGCTGAGCTGCGGGAATTCGGATTCGACCCCCAAGACCTTCCGGGCACTTTCTTCAACCCCATCTTCTCCAGAGAAGACTACCAGGTCTATTGCTTCTTCCACCTGACCGTGCAGGAGTTCCTGGCCGCGCTCTACTGCGTGGCTGCCTTGGATCCTGGCGCTGAGGACCTCACGCCCTGCCTGGATCTCTGGTGGGAGGGATCGGCCCAGCAGGACGGAGACCCGGAGCCCTCCTGGACGTCACCAGGCGAATCCAGTCTCCTCCACTCCACCAGGCAGCTCCTGAGGGGCCACCAGCCCCGGTGGGACAATCTCCAGATGTTTGCCAGGTTCTTCATGGGGCTGCTGACCTCCAGGATGGAGGGGAAGCTGGAGGGGTTGGCCACAGGCTTCTCCGGAGACGTGCTGGGGCCCGTGGCGGACTGGCTGGGGAGGAAGCTCAGGGGAGACACTGAGAGGCGCCTCCTCTCGCTCCTGCACTGCGTGGCGGAGCTGCGCCAGGAGGGGGTGACGGGCCGGGTGGCCCGTGAGCTGGAGGACGTCAACCTCTTCAAGGTGACCCTCAACCCAGCCGACTGCGCCGCCCTGGCCTACGTGCTGGGGGCCTCCGAGCCCGGGAGAGTGAAGAACCTCAACTTGAGCTACAGCAACATGGGCATGGCTGGGCTGCGCAGGATCCGGGGGCTGCTGCACCGCTGCGAGACGCTGCAGTGAGTGAGTGTGTGTGTGTGTGTGTGCGTGCGCACGCCACCCAGGACTCCTGGGTTCTATCCCCAGCTCTGGGAGGGGGCCTAGTGGTTAGAGCGGAGGGGCTGGGAGTCAGGACTCCTGGGTTCTATCCCTGGATGTGGGTGGGGAGTGGGGGTCTAGTGGTTAGAGCGGCGGGGGGGGGGGGGGGGGGGGGCGCCGGGGCCGGGGGGGGGGCCCCGGGGGGCGGGGGGGGGGGGGGCAATGGGGCACATGGGCTTTCCCCTCTAGGGGGCCCCAGCTCTGATCCAGCCCCAGCGTGGGGACTGGCTGGCTCAGGGGGGCAGAAAATGGGCTTTGGGCCCTTCTAACTCCATATGGGAATTGAGTTTGCCGGGTCTCAGCCCCATTCCCAGCAGGGACAGGGGCCGTCTCCCCCTCCCCCACCTCAGATACTAACCGACCCCTTTGCTGGCAGCCCCAAAAGAGATGCTAAGGGCTGGCTGGGCCATGGGGCGCGAGCCCCCCTCTCTGGGGTTCAGGGGTGGGATGCACCCAGAGTTGTTGGGCTGGGGGGGATTTCTGAGCTGGCCCCTTCCCCGCCCTCGAGTGGATCCCGTCGCTCTGCTTCCCTGCAGCCTGTGCGGGAACTGCCTGGGCTCGGAGGGGGCGAGGCGGCTGTGGGAGGCCCTGCGGGAGAACCGCACCCTGGAGGAGCTGTACCTGGACATCACCGGCATCACCGACAGCGGCCTGGACAACCTGGTGCCCTGCCTCCTGGCCAACAGCACCCTCCGGCTCCTGACGTGAGTGCCAGCAGCTGACCTGCAGAGGGCTCTGTGCTGCGGGGGGGGGGCTCTCCCCTGACAGGCAGGGCTGGCCCCGATGCCCCAGCATGGCACTAGGGGGCGCTGTGCTGCAGGGGGCGGGATGGGGGCTCTCCCCTGGCAGGCAGGGCTGGCCCCGATGCCCCTGGGTGGCACTAGGGGGCGCTGTGCTGCAGGGGGTGGGATGGGAACTCTCCCTTGGCAGGCAGGGCTGGCCCCGATGCCCCTGGGTGGCACTAGGGGGCTCTGTGCTGCAGGGGGTGGGATGGGAACTCTCCCCTGGCAGGCAGGGCTGGCCCCGATGCCCCAGCATGGCACTAGGGGGCGCTGTGCTGCAGGGGGCGGGATGGGGGCTCTCCCCTGGCAGGCAGCGCTGGTCCCGATGCCCCTGCGGGGCGCTAGGGGGCTCTGTGCTGCAGGGCCCCGATGCCCCTGGGCGGCGCTAGGGTGCGCTGTGCTGCAGGGGTGGGATGGGGACTCTCCCTAGCAGTCAGTTCTGGCCTCAATATTGCATCTCAGCACTGGGTGAGGGGGTCCTTGTATAAACAGCCCGCACGCCCCACCCCAGAGGTGGCCGCATTTCAGTGTTGGGTGAGGGATCCCCGTATAACCAGCCCTCGTGCCGCACCCCAGCAGCAGCCGCATCTCAGCACCCAATATATACAACGGCTCCACCCCTGCCATCCCCCAGCGAGCAATCCCAGTATAAACCGGCTGCTGCACCCCAGAGGCAGCTGCATCTCTGCGATCCCCTGACGTGTTGTCCCCCGCCTCTGGGCAGCATCGTGGGGAACCGGCTGAGCGAGGCCGGGCAGCGGACCCTGTCGGAGCTGAGCCGTCGCAAGCCAGGCCTGAAGGTGATCAGCACGTTCGAGAGCGACATGGGCCTGCTCCAGGCCTACCTGGACTGGGTGGAAGAGATCAAGGCCGACCCCGACCAGATGGACGCCGTGAAGAACGCCGACGCCCTGCGCTGCATCGTCTCCGTCCTCCGGGACTTGGACGAATCCAGGACCAGTCCCGAGGCCCGGGCCAGAATCCGAGAGCTGAGGAGAGAGATCAGCGCCCTCCTGGGGGAGAAGGAATGAAAGGTGCTAGGAGCTGCACGTCTCGCTGCTAGGCTCCTTCCCGCCACCGGGGGGAGACACTCACTCAGATCCCCCATGATGCCATCTGGGTAAAGCTGTAGGGTAACTTAGGTGTTTAGGGGAGCTGGAAACAGGACACGGGGCCTTTCCCCTGTAGGGGGTGCTGGCGCCCATCCGGGCCCAGGTTGGGGGACTGGCTGGCTCAGGGGGGCGGGGAATGGGACCTTTCCCCTCTAGGGGCCACTGGCACCGATCCAGCCCCTGGGTGGGGGGCTGGCTGGCTCAGGGGGGCAGGGAATGGGACACGGGGCCTTTCCCTGCTAGGGGGCGCTGGCTCCCATCCGGCCCCAGATTATTCCCATCCGAATGGCTGTGTGTAATGACGGCGAGGTTCTCAGCCCCGTTCCCAGTAGGGCGGACACCTCCATCACCCTCCCCACCCCACGGACATTAAGCAGCCCCATTGCCGCCATGGAGTCTGAACCCCCTCCTCCCTCATCTGCAGGGCATGGAGATAAACTGGCAGAGGGATGTGAGGCGGGGCCGGGGGGGGGTCTGCCTGTGAATTTCACAGCAAGAGCTGGGACAGAACCCAGCTGCCAGTGCCTGGGAGTTACAGAGAATCCCTCTCATTCTGAGCACTATAGGGGACATGACACACGCTAGAACATATCTACTTCCCTGCCACAGGGGGTAGTAGTGAGTACATCATCAGATCCACACTCCTCTGCTAATTTCAGTATAAACTCGCTCCGGTGTGGGAATGTTTTCATATAAATCCCCTTAAAAAAGGGAGCTATTGGTAAATATTGGTAATGAATAAATTTGTATTCCTAGTCATTGTTTGTATTGCTGTAGCCCTCAGAGCCCGAGTCCCGGGGGCTGACGCCGATGCCCTGGCACGGCGCTGGGGGGCACTGTGCTGCAGGAAGCAGGGCAGGGTGGGGGCTCTGCCCTGGCAGTCAAGGCTGGCCCCGATGCCCCTGGGCGGCTTATTAGGTGCTATGGTGAAATATTGTCCCAGTTCGCTCAGGGAGTCTCTGGATGGATGGGGTGGGGGGTGTCGGATCATCCCACCCCTAAATCCTGGGTTGACCCAGTCTAGCTGGGCCCCCCTACTGCCCCCCTTCTCCCAAGGGAGACACCCCAAATTCCCCCTTCCTTACCCCAATACCCCACGTCCCCTTGAACCATTCTCCCCACCCCATTCCCCATATTTGGGGAGTCCAAGCCCAGTTCACCCCCAAACACCTGGCACCCCCTCCCCGGACAGCCTGGCGCCCCCTCCCTCTCTGCTGCCCCAGAGACCCCAGGCTGGGGGTATGTGGATGGAGAGGGGGGTTCTGGGTGAAATTCCCATGGGAGGGAACCACCCCTCTGCAGGGGGCATTGGGGTGCAATTTCCCCCACTCCACCCTGCCCCCCCCTTTTGCTGCACGCTGGACCCCTCCCCCATTTCTCTGTGTTAAGGACCT